TATTTTCATGTAACTTTTTTTTTTTTATAAATATGTAAATGCAAATTAATTCAAAAAATAATGTTTATTTAAAATTTACATTAATTGTTTTCTATTCAGAATGGGGGGGGGTAATATCGATTTACGCAATAATATTTTGGGGTAATGATTAAAAAAAGTTCCCCGACCGCTGTGATAAATGAATGACTTTGTAGTTTGTTATTAAGAAAAATGTAAATACTATACAAAATAGTTAAGTTAAGTGTTCATAGTTAGAGATGGAAATATTGAGGATCTAGGAGGCAAGTACGATAAAACAACGATGGAGACGTTGGCGTCGCCGCTTCTCGAGGAAACTTTTTTTTTTTTACTCATCCTTTGTGTCTTCCTTTGGGAACCGCAGCGTTGTGTGTGTGTTTGTAAGTGAGGGTATAAATAAATTATAAGTTAGTACGATGTGTTACCTCGGTTCTAAATAAAGAGTGTGCCGATCTGTGGGCGCGAGCATCGTCGGATGATCATCGGTTAGGAGCGGAGAGCAGCCGAAGATCGCGTGGTCATGGGATCATGGGAGGTGGTGGAGAAGTGTGGTGGTAGTAGCAGTAGTACCCACCCAAAAACGCGATCATCGTCGTCGTCGACGTGCTGTCGTGCAATCAGACACAGTTGCTCACCAGTGTGTCCACGACGACGTCGACCACAATAATTTAAACGAACGAACGAAACCCACAAGACGAACAAAACGGCACTAAAACGAACCCATACGCATACACGAACCCAAATATAAATATTACATAAACATATACTCATATAATATAATAATTACAAAATAGTAAAAAAAAAAGAACCTACCTACCTACATACATAAATAAATAAACTGTACATACACCGATTGAGATATAAACTGATTGTGATTATGATGGCATTCATGGATCAAAAGGAAATCGCCAACTTTTTGGCGCAAGAACTGTTCTATCACCAGGTAGATTTAGTTTTATGGCCATCACCCAGCATCATCATCCGCCTACACGCGAATAACAAAATTTCATAACAGATTTAATTAATCTAACCAAATCCCATAACAATCTTACGAACTAATTTTATTTTATTTTGTTTTCTTGAAATTAAAAAAAAAAAACAACACCTAATTAAACCTAGATTTTAAGTCGCAATAGATGCACGTTTTGCTATCTAATTGGAAACTTTTTTAATTTTCAAATATTAATTATTATTTACTCAGGAATCGCGTTATATCAATCATATCGTATAGATAAGATATTGTGAACTGGAAAAACGATAAGTTTACTTACATATATATTTTTGTTTATTAATGATTATTATTAATATTAATAGATTGCAATAATTGAAAAGTTGTGTATTTCAGATTGGAATTTAAGAAAATAATCGCACACATTTTTGATCATCATTTTTACAGTATTTATTCGTGTGTTCTCTTCGCATTTAATCTTTACTTATTATTTTTGTTTGAAATGTTGTCGCACGCCGTATTTCCTAAGAAAATTTTCACGGTGCCAATTATGTCAGTCGCTAAAAATATTCGCGGCGTCGCGACGCACGCGCTCTTCGGATCACAGTAAAAAAATGAAACTTTTGCGATGCGGCGTTCGGTCTATCCGTTCGCATCCTACATATTTTCAATGACAAGGTTATTATTATTATTTCGTTTAATTGGAGGAAAAACTAGAATCCAAAACATTTGCGATGGTTATGCAATATGATACGCAGTGTTGTACCACCAGGTTGCTTTCAAGTTCAACAAATTTGAATATTGACAAGTACTTTAATTAATTAATTAATAATATTAATTAATTAATTCTTTATGAACTTGTTGAGTGCAAGTGAAATCGTTGATAGATCTAATGTAATTCTCAATTCTCTTCTTTAAACAGTACTAATCCACATCTAATCTACTTAAAGATAATTACTTGGTTTTAGGTTCGATTATAACCATTGATAAGTACTTGGCAAGTATCGAGTACCACTTGTATTTTCATTCATTAAACAGCATTAACTCTTTATGAACTTGTTCAGTGCAAGTGAAATCGTTGAAAGCTCTAATGAAATTCTCAATTCTCTTCTTTAAACAGTACTAATCCACATCTAATCTACTTAAAGATAATTACTTGGTTTTAGGTTAGATTATAACCATTGACAAGTACTTGGCAAGTATCGAGTACCACTTGTATTTTCATTCATTAAACAGCATTCATTCTTTATGAACTTGTTCAGTGCAAGTGAAATCGTTGATAGCTCTAATGTAATTCTCAATTCTCTTCTTCAAACAGTACTAATCCACATCTAATCTACTTAAAGATAATTACTTGGTTTTAGGTTCGATTATAACCATTGATAAGTACTTGGCAAGTATCGAGTACCACTTGTATTTTCATTCATTAAAGACCATTAATTCTTTATGAACTTATTGAGTGCAAGTGAAATCGTTGAAAGCTCTAATGTAATTCTCAATTCTCTTCTTTAAACAGTACTAATCCACATCTAATATACTTAAAGATAATTACTTGGTTTTAGGTTAGATTATAACCAATGATAAGTACTTGGCAAGTATCGAGTACCACTTGTATTTTCATTCATTAAAGACCATTAATTCTTTATGAACTTGTTCAGTGCAAGTGAAATCGTTGATAGCTCTAATGTAATTCTCAATTCTCTTCTTTAAACAGTACTAATCCACATCTAATCTACTTATAACCATTGATAAGTACTTGGCATGTAGCACGTTTCACTTGTATTTGTTTTTACTACAGCCTTCATTATATGTTTTTACTCAGCAACTGGTTTAAGTTATTTCAAATCATCAGTTCGCACATGCAAAGTAAAACATGTATCAGTCGTCGCCATCGATAATTGCCCGAATATTGTTATTTTATTTTATTTTAAATACATCTTTTGTTGTAAATATTCTGTAATTACTGCGAATGCTGTAGGTGTTTCATGTGCGTCGAGCCAAATTATTTATTTTTTGTTTTGTTTTTGTTTTGTTGCAGTTCATCGCTTTGGAAGGATTAAATTCTGGCGTGCCAACCAGAACCACGCCAACCTTAACCCCGACAACACTTAAGAGCATCGAACAGACCTTCATCGAGCTGCAATCGAAGCCAGAGAGCCACGAAAACGAAGCCGGATTCGTGCCTCCGTTGGTACATTCAATAGGTAATTCAATAACTTTCCAACAATTTTATAAGTTGATTATTAATGTTGATTATTAATGCAATAATGATATAAAACAAACTTATGTTTATAGGTTGATAACTTGTTATATGCATTACATAAGTTGTGCAGAAATTGCATCAAAATCAGCAATTAGTTTTGAGGAAAAAGTTATGTTTTTGTAGAGTTTACATGATTTATTTTCAATGTGAATTATTGAAATTAATAAACTCAATATTTGTTTATGGTTTTGTGAATGTTATGTTTATGTTTTTGGTGTCTTTTGCAGGTAACAATCAATATATTTCGGCTTCGGAGGCCGACGTGTACACGACGATTTCGAACAACACCAGCAAGTCGCACACGTATTGGAATTCGTCGATGTCCCAGTGCAGCTCGGACAGTAACACAACATCTCCATCGCCGTCCGATCTCCAGAAGAATATGCTGCAAACGCCGCAGCCGACATCCCGCAGGAACATGGGCGGAAGAAAACCAAACAAGGACAACAACATTAGTCCGGAAGAGGAGGAGAGGCGCAGGATTCGCAGGGAAAGAAACAAAGCAGCGGCCGCGAGATGTAGAAAGCGACGGGTCGATCACACCAATCAGCTGATGGAGGTAAATCAATTAGAGAATTAGAGTTTTGAGTTTTTAATTGTTTTTTGGTTTGTTTCTTTAGGAGACGGAAGATTTGGAGCAAAAAAAGCAAAAGTTGGAGAACGAACTGCGCGAACTGCAGTCGATGAAGGAAGAGTTGGAGATGGTGCTGGAGAACCATCGTTCGAAGTGCGGTCTTGGTATAACGATGCCGCTTCAGTGTCCTCCGAGTCCGCCGGACGTGAAACCGCACTCTTACATGGGCTACTGCAACGATCTGCCGATGGACAACGTGAGCCACAGGATAAAGACGGAGATCGAGCTGCAGGACGACGAGATCTTCAGTCAGCCATCTCCAGCGAAGAGGATAATGCTCAGTTCCGCGGCGCCGATCTCGAAGCCGAGCCGTCCCAATTCGCTGAACGTAGCCGCGACGGCTCCCGTAACCTCGGCCGCCAACCAGAAGAACTTCTCCTCCGAACTGCAAGGAATCAGCATCAGCACACCATCGTCTGGTATGCATTTTAACTTCGATTCGCTGATGGTCGGCGGCACCGGTCTCACCCCAGTCAACGCACCCATCATGCCAAACTGCTCGGCGCAGCAGAGGATACCAGTATCGATGCACCACGACATCTCGACACCAGAAGCCTGCGTTCCACCGAAACTCGTCAGCTTATAGTTTCAATCTTCCCGAAAGGAATACAGGATAAAAGGATAAAACAAAATCGACGTTTTCGTGCAATTGGGTCTTAGCTGCGTTTCACACAGTTAGAGTTACCAAGAGGCGTCGGCCCCGAAAATTCTTAGTCATTGATGGCCGATCTCGTGCATTAACAAATCCAACAGCAACCAAAACATAATAATAATAATGAAAAGATTTACCATTTTCTCTTCCTTTTTACTCCTTCACACGAAAATGCGACATTGTGTAACGATTTGCGCGCATCTTTTCTTTTTTTTGTTAGTGTCATATTAATATTTATTTTCTAGTGATTTAAGTGGAATGCTAAATATGGACCAAAAAGTGCTCAAAAGTATAAACGAACCTAAAAATGAAACACATACATTGAATATTGAAGAATTTCGCCTACCTAAAGTATATTTTGCTATAACAATTATATATATATATATAAAAATATTAGCCGTGAAAATGCCTTTTTTTTTTTTGTAATCGTAAATGATCTATAAATATATGTGAAACGAGAAATAGCTAAAACTAAATGATATAATTCCCTCCAAACATCGTTTTTTATTATTCATTCTTATTTATATAAATAATATATAAATTATATACATAGAACTGTATAGAAGCAAATCTATTTTTTCTAAATACGAAATACGAAGTGCGGATACGAAGATGATTTTTTGTATATTCGTTTATTGTAATAATAAAAGCGGGCGCATTTATTTTTGTTGTGAGCGCGCGCGCGGCAAAACGAAATGTATAAAAGGAAACAAGCAAATGTGTTATTATTTATAAGTATAATATATTTAGAAACATTTTTATCAGAATATTATATATATATATTTATAAAGCGATAAATTAAGCAATAAATTTTTTTGGGGGAGGGTGGACCAAGACGAGCGCATCCACGCTCATCCGCATACAATTTGTTTCTTTTCTTCGTATTTGTCTCCGATGACTCGATCGGGAATTTGTGATTTTCCCCCCCGATCTACATCGGATTTCTTTATTTAATTTTTTTTTTTAATTATAATTTCTTTGTTTGTTTGCGCTGGATGCGCTTCTCCTGCAAACGTCGCTCGCCCTTTGAATATATATACATACACACATACATATATTTATATAAATATATTTAAAGATACAATCAATTTTATATTTCTAGATTTATTTTTATTTTTTGTCAGAATTTTATATTTATTTTACTTGCATTGCTAATAATGTATAAATCGATATGAAAAACGAATGTAAAATATTTTCAGTTTTCTTAAATATAAACCGATTTTATGCAATATATATAAATATGTCATGTTCTTTTTGTAACTTCCTGAAACTTTCCTTTACTTATTTACCATCACTTTGCCAATATTCTAGAATTGGAGTGGACAACTTGTTTGTTCTTAAGATCGACTTTTCTATTTCAAAATTTTACACTTCTCTTGATAAAAAGTTTTTTTTTTGTTGTCTCTTCCTATTTCTATTCTATTCACAATCGAAATAATCCATTTTTCATCTAGGATCAGCAAATATCATTGTGGATTAATGCATAATAATCCAGAAATTATTTACTTGAAAACTCAACAAATTTTACAGATTTTTTTTCAAATTTGAAATTACTTTAGAGTAAACATTTTAATCTTGATTTTTTTAAGGTCTATTTGAATAAATATCTATCAATAAAAACACGAATTTGTTGGCAATTAAATTCACTTGATATTGAGAAAATTGATTCCAAAGACTTATTCTTAGATCATTTTTAATTACGCCTTTATTTCTATAACCTTTTTGGTGATGCAATAGATTTTTTGGAACTTTTCGCATATTCAGATTCAGAGAATTGATTACAGACTTAATTTTAAGGAATTGATTTTAAAGACATTTTAAATCACAAGATAATGATGTATAATTGGGAGGAAATAGTGCTTCATTTACAAATAACATAAATATTACTTAATTTATGAATAATTATAGTTTAGAAAGAAAGACATAATTCTCAGTTTTTTTAGTGGTAAATTCTTTATTTATCTGTTAAATTTGTAATAATAATATTTGCAAAATTTTATCTACAATAATAAAAAAATAACATAATTTTAGATGTTGCAAATGGATATTGACTTAAGTCATTCTGTTCGGTTTACATTTTGTATTTTTTAATAATTTTTTGGGATGTTTTTTGAGCAAATTTTTTCAAGAAATTCACTAAAATCAAGTCAAATCAAAGCTTTAAAATAAATTCCTTGAAATCAAATAATTCAGAGTTCTATTTCTTTTAGTTTTAAGTATATTTTTTGTAAGCTTTTTTAAGAACTGTTGTTCAAATAAATTCTCTAAAATCAAGTCAAATCAAGGCTTTAAAATGTCTTCGAAATAAATTTGCTAAAATCATGTCATATCAAGTCTTTCAAATAAATTCCTTGAAATCAAATCATTCAGAGTTCTATTTCTTTTAGTTTTAAGTACATTTTTTTGAGAACTGTTGTTCAAATAAATTCACTAAAATCAGGTCAAATCAAGGCTTTCAAATAAATTCCTTGAAATCAAATCATTCAGAGTTCTATTTCTTTTAGTTTTAAGTAAATTTTTTTGAGAACTGTTGTTCTAATAAATTCTCTAAAATTTAGGGCTTTAAAATGTCTTTCAAATCAATTCCTTAAAATTAAGTCTGTAATCAATTCTCGGTCTGAATCTGAATATGCAAAAAGTTTATAGAAATAAAGGCCTAATTAAAAATGATCTAAGAACAAGTCTTTCGAATCAATTTTCTCAATATCAAGAGAAGACTGAATTTACTTGCCAACAAATTTGTGTTTTTACTGTTTTGTTTACTCATTATGAAATTCCAATGATTATTTTAATAGATATTTATTCAAATAGACCTTCAAAAAATCAAGATTAAAATGTTTACTCTAAAGTAATTTCAAATTTGAAAGGTATACTAAAATTTGTTGATTTTTCAAGTAAATAATTTCTGGATAATATAATCATAATCTATTTTAAGATTGTTGCAAAATTGATTGATGACTCACGTTAAGATTTCAGTTAAATCGAATGATAGCATTCTTTTAAATACATACATTTGGATCACGAAGGCTTTTTTTTGTGAACATATGAATAGAATAACTTGTGAGCGTTTGGTTGCAGCCTATGCGCTTTGTGAAGAAGAATAAAATGATAAGAAATCTAGGAATGCGTTGCGTTAGCTAATGAATTGATTACGAGGAATTGAATAATTATAATGGGAAGCCTACGTCAATCAAAATGAATGGGAAGAGACGAATAGAAGGAACGAAGCATGAAATAAGTTCGTGTGAATCATGCGTGCTTGGAAACGCGCATTAGAAAATGCTACATACTAATATTAAGGATTATCTTAAGCCTGCAAGCATTTCTTATAAATAAAAATGACGTAAGCTCATGCGCTCGATGTTTGTAGTCGAAAAAGTGGGGACTCCGAATTGTCCGCATTCTTCGCTGAGCGCAATTTTTGTGAAGAGCGCACAGCTACAACAAACCGAGCTGTCGTCCAGTGTCATTGGCCCACTTATATTATACGACAACAGCAATGTCGAATCTTCTAGAGAATCCCGTAAGTTTTAGCAATCTAATATCTAAATCTAATTAAACGTTTATCGACGTTATCCAGCCTACGCCTTTCGTCGGACCGATTTCTGGAGGTTTCCGAGATGGCAGGATCATCAGGATTCAAGGCTATACTTCCCCAATTGCCGAAAGGTGCGTAAAATGTCTATATTACCATCGAATAGTTTTTAATATTTATCTATCATCGTCATTTCTCAACCTTCGATAATCACACGATCTCCTAATTATTCCGAAATTAATTTGTTGATGATGTCAGACGCGTTTTGATGAGTTCATCGATAATTCGTTGCGTAGAATAACAATATTTTTTTAAATTTATAAATAGTTCTTGTTACATGGACATAAACATGTCTAAGCTGTTTATTACAATTTTAAACGGATCAAGATAAATAAATTTAACTGTATCAATTTAATTCACAACTAGTTTTGTTTCAAAGAATTTTACAGCGATCATCATGTCAAATTTATTTTTTTTTTATATTTCTGTATTTTCTACAAATTAACTTTAATTATATATCATTTAGTTTTTCAGTTGTTTATTAATAAGTAAATTCAAGGCATGTTTATTTTTTACTGGTAATAACAGGAGATTCTACGAAATGTTTCCTCGTTTATTCATAAATCCGTTGAACCACAACAAAAATCACAACGTTATCAAACAAAAATGATGAATGTAGTAACATTGATTGATTGATTATTAAAGTTAAATACATTTTTAACGAAATAGTTGACACAAAATTATAAAATAAAACTATTTTTTTTTTTCTGAACAAAGTTGATAAATGTTAGTTAAACTTTTGTTTAAATTGAAAGAAGCAATGAGAAACATTGATAATATTTATATAAAGTGCTATCATAGATCAGAGTGGGCAAACTGTGGCTCTTCAAGAGATTTGTTGTAGATTATCTGATAAATAAACAATATTTGTTATTTTTAAATTTCTGAATCTTGTAAATACACAAAAAAACCGATTTGGGATTCTTAAACTCGTCCCGGTTCAACCTTCAAAACATATGTTACATATGTGATTCAGCACGCATGTTCTTTATATAGTTTGTTCTAACTGAATTAGATTTAATTGCATTAAAAGATAATACTCGTGGCGTCAATATTAAGGTAGCTTTTGATGGTAATGATAAATTGTAATAATTATATACCGGTCATTTTTTGTGCGGAAAAAAGTTTTTATTAACAAAACTATACTACAGAAAATAGGACATTTTTTTAAAAAAATACTACAAAACAAAGGTCTATAGCCCTTTGGTGATGCATGTGGCCAATAAATATGTTAAATAAATAAAAGAATCACATAAAACAAATAACTCAAAAGATGAATAACAAAAAATATATTTTTATATTTAATTTTACAGGTGGAAATTTTATGATATTTAGAATAACAAACGATTTTTGGCCTTTTATTATGTAAAGATTTGAATTGCAACCGTCTGCACAATCAAACACATTCTTTCAAACTTATTTCATTATTTGGAACTTCTTTAATTGAGAAAAACAACAGTTTTCTTGTAAAATATTAAATTGATTTGTTGCATACAGTTGTTTAAAAAAATACCGTATTTTGTACCTAGTTTGTAAAGAATTTCATTTTGAATCGATTCATATAAGTACGCTTTTTTCCACATTAGCAATTGGATATTTAGTTTTGTCTTCTTGATCGATTTTTCTTATTTCAGAAAAATGTTCTTCGATTAGATTAAACTGAATCTACGACAGTTATTAACAGTAAATCTTCAGTTGAATCATGTAATTTTATTTTAAATCGCTGCTCTTCTAAATTAGCTATTATACATTATAGCTAAAATTTACTAACTAAGTCTTATTAGTACAAAGACAGTGTGCAGTGTGGACAATGCACATTACAGCAGAAAACGTGTCTCTTTACCAGTTTATGTGATAAATACTTACAAATTAATCACTTTGACCTTCTTATGTGGTTAGTAGTATTAATGATGACCGGTTATTATTAATATTAACCGATTCATTATTTGAATTAAAAATTACATTATTCATTCATAAATAAAAAACAGTTTATAAAATTTTACTAAATATCATAAATTTCTTTGCTAGAGTTTATGGACATGATTTGCATTGGCCACCCTTTATTCACACTACATACATACACTATATACAAATATAAATTTTTGACCATGGTATCAAAATATGTAAACTTTAATGTTTAATTTTAGATTTCTTATTGTAAAACCAAAGTTAACTCAGAATTTTAGAAAAACAATGACATATTCTAATAGATTATAACAGCGTTTCTCATCCTACAAACCTAGTTATAAACTATTGGGTCGCAGTACAACTACTAGCAAAAATCACGCTGTAAAAAGGTTTAGAAACGTTGGAAAATGTTTCTCCAATTCATTCATCTATATTACATCCAAAAAGATGAGATAATTAAATGATTAATTTTTATTTCTATTATTGTTAGATTCAATGTGAATCTTCAGGCCGGTCCAGGTGCTGAAGTTGATATTGCCGTGCACGTGTCCGTTCGTATTTCGGAAGGATACGTAGCGAGGAATTCGTTCCAAAACGGTGAATGGGGCGACGAGGAGGATAAAGGTGATCTGCTCATTGGGGCAGGTCAAAAGTTCGAGATTATCATCCTGTGCGGATCGACAGATTACAAAGTGAGTCAAATGACAATTATCAATGTCAATGATAACATTTTTTTTTTCAAAATTAATGTAGATTGCCATGAATGGAAAGCATTTCTGCGAGTTTCCACAACGCGTTTCTCCGAGATCAACATCGCACTTGTTCATCGATGGAGACGTCTCGCTTACATTGATCTCGTTCGAAGGTGGAGATGAGGTGACCTCATCTTCGGCATCTTCTCAGCAATCCGTCGGAGCTCCATCGTTCCAAGGACAGTACGGACCTCCACAGGGTCAGTATGGACCTCCTCAGGGTCAGTATGGACCTCCTCAGGGTCAATACGGACCTCCGCAGGGTCAATATGGTCCTCCTCCGCAACAAGGCTATGGACCACCGCCACCACCAGGTCAGCACGAAGAACAATCCAGCGGTTTCGACTTCCTGGGGACAGCAGGATCGGTGATTGCTGGAGCAATCAGCTCGGGGATGGCTGAAAAGTTGATCGGTTCTTTGACGAGCGGAGGAAACCAACAACAAGGCGTAAGCATTTAGTGAAAAAAAAAATAATAATCTTATATATTGATGGATGTTTGAGTAGTCTCAGCAGCAGCAAACCCCAAATAATCAGCAACAATACCAGCAGCAACCGAGTCAACCGCAAAATCAGCAGAATTTCAGTTTACCCCAATTGGGTGGACACGGATCGATCGGTGGTCTGGGCAGCGTTGGTTCCTTATTGACTGGATTCGCAGAACAACTATTGCAGCCGAAAAAGGTGATTATTGATCGCTCTAATTAGCATATAGATATTAAGGTCAACTGAATCTAACAATTGAACACCTTAAATTTCAGGAGGGACACCATTGACGTGAATCAACCGCTAGATTTGACGGAAGCATTTTTATTTGTGTCTCAATCTCTCTCTACGTTATGCTTTAAATTATTATATTAATTAAGAAACGCACATCTATTAATAATTATTTATTTCGTTATATACGTTGTGGGACATTTTATGGTTGTTGTAATTAAATGTTAGTGAGAGTGCCTTTATTGATCAAGTAACGAGAACTTTTGTAATTGTCGTTGTTTTGTTTATATATTTTCTTAAAGATTTGGCGCATTTAGCGAACTTAAACTAAATAAATGATCTTGTTAAGACAACATATTTTTCTTTCCATATTCACATACAGTTATATAGAACTTAGAACTTTACTGAATTGATCAATTTTAGATATAACGAGAGATGTTTATTTTTACATTAAATTTGCGAAAAATCTTATTTTTTTTCCAGCAATAAATAATAAAAATAAAATAAAAAGTCAACTACTGCAAAGGTATTTCTGCTCAATTATTGGTTTACTAATTTTTTGCTGATTTAGTTAGAAATTCAAAAAAAAAAATTTAGGATGAAGTAAAAACATCCTAATTAGTATTTTTTCTCATGCAATTAATGCTAATTATTTAAGCGTATTTTTTTTTATAATATACTCAAAATATGCATGAGAACAACATATGACAATTTCAGCGATTTCAATAATGATAGTAAACAATAGTATATAATTTATTTAAAATAAGAATTATTAGTTTTATTTTATGTTTGCTTTGATACTTTATCTTTTATTCTATTTAAATAGTCTACGAGATAATAGATTATTAAACAATACAAATTAGTGTCACTGACTGATTTCTATAAAACTGTGCATTGTTTGATAAAATAAATATTGCCAATCCAAAATGAATTGATAATCATGTATACAAATTTATTTAGACAAATATCATTTGTGCAATATTGCGATAATGAAATAAATTTTGTATATCAATTTATTTTATTTAATAATTTTGTTTTCACAGACAATAGTTTAATAATTGAACACCAGAAGTAAGAAGGGTTTCCCACAAGGAAAAAACTGAAATTTAATTAATTATTATTATTATTAACATTTGCATTTACATTAATAACATAAAAAAAGATGACACATGAAATGGATATGTAGAAAAGATTATTAGTTGTGTGATGTCTAAATCAATGATTCTCAAAGTGGTCTATATCGATTTCCAGAACCTGCAAAGCGAAAAAAAGAAACAGACTGATAGAAATTAGACGAGGAGATTTAAGATTAAACCT